CCCCCCCATCTCCAGGGATGCTTTGCAGCCCCCCACTCCCACCAAGGCAGGGACGGGCAGAGCAAGAGGCAGCAAGATTTGCTGCCAACCCCCCCCCTACCCCCCCCGGTGCAGCCCCCGTTCCCCGTTCCCGGGGCGAGGGCCCCCCCGGGGTACCTGGGCCGCGGGTGCTTGCAGTGTAGGTTCACTTTGAAGCTCCTGCCGTCGCCGTCGCTGCCGGGTTGGCGGGGGCCGGAGCCCTGGGTACGCGGGAACCACTCGGCTGGCGGGCTGGCACCGTTCTCCAGTGCGACGGGCTGGCAGGCGACCGAGCTCCCATCTGCTCGAGCAAGCACAGAGACCCCCAAGCGTCAGCCCGGCGGCCCCCTCCCCAGGGGAGCACCCCTTGCCCCGGGCTAGCGTGGGTGCCCGCAGGGCTGGGCACGCTGCGTGCTCCCCATTCACGCCTTCCCCTCAAAGCCATCGGGACGCCCAGGGAGCCACGCTGTCCCCTCTGCACCGCAGGATGGGGCCCATCGCGGGATGCCCGGGCACAGGGTGGCATTTTGGGGCAGGACACCCCTTTCTTCCCCGCCGTAGCTGTGCCTCGGGCTGCCCGTCCGAGGCAGGGCACCTCCCGGCCACGCCGCGGGCACGGGCGTGCGTGCCGACGCGTGCGCACGTCCACACGGATGTGCGCGTTGCACACGCGTGTGCACGCGGGGGCCCCTGCCGCCCTGCGTGACACCGGCGTGCTGGGGGTGCGGGCACCCAAGGTAGCTGCCCAGCCGGCACAGCGGTGCCCAGCAGAACCCCCCAACCCATCGCGGTCCCCCCATGCCAGCGTGTCCGCCTGTCCGTCCCCCCCCCGAGCGCCGCGTGTGAATCCCTGCCTGTTGGCTCCCTCCCCCAGCACACACCCGCAGACACACACACACACACGCAGCCGCTCGGCGTGATCCAGGCTCTTCCCGGTGTCTGGATTAGCGTGACAACTTATCAACAAGGCAGGGAAAGAGAATTCAAACCTGTCAGTCCATCCACATCCCACCCCCCCCCCCCCCCCCCCCAGTCTCCCCACCAGCCTTTGGGCGCAGCGCTGGCACAGAGGAGATGCGGGCACCTCTCCGGCAAACACCGCCGTGTTGCCTGCGTGGTGTAGAGTTACACCAAGGGCAATGTAGGAGCAGGAAAATATGTGCTAGAAAGACCGGTCTAGTCTCTGATGAAGCTGCTAATGTGCCCGGAGAGCTGTTGGAGGGGAGGCAGGCAGGAAGGAAGCAAACGGGAGGTTTTCCAGAACAGCCGCTGGGAGCCGGTCCCCGCCGCACACGCTGCGCACGGCTCGACGGAGAGGACCGGAGGCGTCGCGGGGCGTGGGGCGCGG